CCACATTGTGGTTCCCATGTGACTGTGGGACACAAAGGTATTTAAAGCTGGTCTCTATGTCTGCTATGTGGCCTACTGGTTGTTCCACCCCATCAGTCTTAACTACCGTCCCTCTCTTTACGACCATCTGACCACACTTCTCCAGTCCAAATGACATCCTAATGTCCTCACTGTAAATCCATGTCAGGTGGATCAGCGAGTCAGTGTCTCATTCACTCTTAGCATATAGCTTGATGTCATCCATGTAGAGGAGGTGGCTGATGGTAGTTCTATCTTGAACTTGTATGACTAATGGTATTTCCGCTCTTGTGCTTTACAACTGCATCACTTAGTGACAGAAATTCAGATTCCAATTACCATCAATAACCAAGGAGTACCTGTATGTATGAGTGTGTGTGTGCATGTATATAGTATATATATACAGTATATACAGTACATATATGTATATGTGTATATGTGTGTGTCTGTGTGAGTGTGTATGTATAGTAGGTGTGTCCGGGAAGACTCTTGCATAGGAAGGAAAGCGGCCATTGCTTTCCTGGAATAGCCAGGTGGGAGGGCCCAGTAGGGGAACTGTCCAAAGGGAAGATGGGGTATCCTGCAGTCTGGACTGAATGCCTCGCAAGCTGTTGCCAAAGTGTCTCAACCTAGACATGTTTTTTCTCAGCTGCTTTCAACTTCAGTTGCTGTGAGCACGAGGCCAGGCAACTTAAACAGTGAATGCAAAACGTCCCAGGAAGAGGGAGGCCCAGTTTCTAGTCCATCCTCTGGCAGGGAAGCTCACTGGGTGATGCTTCTGTTTATTGATTTAAAGGGTTTTGTGTGTGCAGTACTAATCTGGGCTTGATTGCACCTTCAAGTTAGTAATATGGTGGATCATTACCTAACCTCTGTGATCCACCAGCCGCCTCACAATCCAAAGGCCTTTTATCTACTAGGATAAAGTTCTTTTTTTCACTTCACAGTGCGCCCTGATTAAAGAAGAAAAATACAAATAGGTTAATATATGAGCTTTTAACCCTAAAATAAATGACTGATTAACTCTCTCCTCCCACTTCAGGACTTTTAAATGTTTTGGCTGAATAATGTGTGATCACGAAGAGCTAAACTTATGTGGCCTTTGTGTGTTGCTCCAATTGTATCTGCATCAGGCATAGGAAACTTCTGTCCAACTTTCATCTCCTTGGAGCTTTCCTTTGTTGTGTTTGTTTCTTCCACATCCCCTTCCCTTCAGAAGACCTTTTCTTATAATAATAGATTTCCACTGCAGGAGGAAAAAAAAATAGCTGGGGACATTTTTCTACAGAAAGAATTACAGAAAAGAAGAGGACTAGGAAACTCTTTATATTGTCAGATTGGAATTGTCAGATTGCACTCTCAGGGGCTGCATGTTTTTAACCCCAATATCCAGAGGAATCCTCTGCCTTAATGTAATTTGACTCAAAATCTCCAGGTCAGAGCCCTGTCGTCCATGTGCTTCCAACTCTGTTCACATTTCACGTTCACACACAGCCCTGCTCCATGCATTCCTATTACCATAGCTGCATTTATTCTTAACTACACAAGCACATGCATACATCAGTGCAGGAATGCTCACACAGGAGTTTTATTTACGTTAACTCCTGTCTTGTTCAGGTGGGTCCTGAATACATCTGCACTTATCTTTCTTTTAAAACACCGAGACTGCAGTAGACATCCTGCAGAAGTCCTTAAGATACTCCATTTCCCAGCTAGTTTGAAAAATCTGTAAGGACGTGAAATGGATGGTTGCAAAGATGAATCTCTCTCAAAAAAAATGCAAAGAGGAAACGGACAAAAACAAATGTCCTTTTCATTTAATTGGACTGTATCATTTTCTTTTCCTCAGAAATCTCTGAAGCACCTAGCAAACAGGTTACCCGAAAAGAATTGTCAGTTTGTTTAACATCCTCCCCCTAATTGGCCTGAACTGTCTGAAGGATAGAACCATCTTTAAAGAAACTGGCCAGTCTGATTTATGGTGGATCCTATGCAAAGCCTTGCCCAAAGGACAAAGCTGCTACAATATTTATAACCATCATAATAATTGCTGTTATGGACCTATTCTTACGTTTAAAATTACATGTTTTGGTTTTCATTGACTTTCAGGATCAGGTACATATCCAGTGTTAATTTAGGTAATTATAATCTCTGGTGTTAATGGCCTTATACCACAAATATACACAGGTGTTTTGAACTGGAGCAAAGAACTGGATCTAGCCTGGGCGGCCTTGAACCCTGACGCTCCAATGGCCATGTGACATCAGGAGCAGTGCTTAAGGGCAAAGTGGAGATAGTCAGCAATGGTGGAGAAGAAGAGGCAGGGTTTTGGGGAGGGAGGCAATGGCCTCTTAGGCTGTACCTGGTGCTCGCTAGATAGGATTAGGACTGTGAGTCAGAGGTCCTCCACCTCTGCTTGAGGTGGTCAAAGTAGTGTCAAAAATGGCCAAGCTTGCTCTGCTACACACATATTGCCTCCAAGTGCTGTCCTTGTGACCCTATCGCTCCCCCCACCCCTTTTCATACTGGAAGTGTTCTTTCCCCAGGACTAGAGACTTGAGCCCAAGGCGGTGCTCTAATAAGGAATGTCAAATAGGAATCCATGACTGGGGAGGTAGCTTAGGGACAGTCAACTCTGACCTCCTACCCCTTCAAGCAGGCTTGTTTGGTTGTGCCATTGAGGACTATTTCATGCATCTTCACTGTGGGATTTCCATAGGCAATGGTATCCTGGGTTTGACAGCCCTTAAATCCAATCTGGCAGGGCTCCTCTTAGATAAGCTTACCTAGACTCCTATTAAAATCTATTTAAACATATTTTGCTCAGATGAATGCCAAATGCCAAAGTGCAGCTTGGACTCTGCACCTATTTCTTTTTTTTTTTTTTAGTTAGAAATTTGTTGTGTTTCAGATTAACTAAAATTAAGCATTAACTGAATGCTAGAATGCCAAAAACAGAAAAATATTAAAGAATAACATTCCAGAATTACAAATTAATGATGCTATATTTTAAATCTGGGGCTACAACTGAAAGTTTCCAGCATTTTGTACTCATTGTCTCACAGAGGTACTTGGCTCATGTCAGTCAGACTTGAAGAATGACTGCATTTACACTGGCATTGCCACTCATTGAACACTTGTTCTCATGTAATGTGGTAATGTTATACTAGACAGGCACAAGAGCTTGCTGCTTTCCATTGCAACAGAATAAACCACTGGAAGTTGACTGGCATCTGTGGAACATGTCAGGGATACAAATTGTTGCATTCCTCTTCTGTTTCTGTGGGATAGGAGCAATTATCGCAGCCACGGCCTCAAACGAATGGAAAGTCACCAGCCGGGCGTCATCGGTGATAACAGCAACTTGGGTCTTCCAGGGCCTCTGGATGAACTGCGCAGGAAACGCTCTGGGGGCTTTCCACTGTAGGCCTCATCTGACTATCTTCAGCATAGAGGGTAAGCTACCAAGCAGTGGCGGATAGTCCTGCAACAGCTGAGGATCTCATGAATAAATGGAGCATGATTTCTAGGAACCAATGTGGTTTTATCCATGCCCTGAGATCTGTAGGCTTGGAGCATGATAGAATTCTGCAGGGGAAGAGAAGCTAATTTCCAGTGTATTTATTACTGTTACTACTAATAGTAATATTTATAATTCCCTCCCTAAAGAAGGAGAAACACATTCAGTCTCTTGACCTGCTACCTACAACTGCCCGTTTTCAGTCTTAACGCTCAGGGATTCAAATGTAAACATGCTCAGTGCCATGGTTCATAATGCACACTATTTATATTTGCATATGTTCACAAATGCATATTAAGATGGATTAATGTTAATGCAGTTGGTAATAGCAGCTAAAAAGTCCAAATAGAAATACAGGGAGCTGTAGCAGTAGCGCCCTGCAGTTTAAGAGCGAAGCAGGTTCCTCCGAAGCGCTCATTCTGGAGAAAAGGTTTCAGAACGCATGTGCATAATCTCACATAGCTCCATTCAGCGCTCTAGAATGGTCTTTCCAATCACTGCAAGCACAGTTCTCTTTGAGAAGTCACAAAACACTAGCAATAGGCTAGATTAGCACCCAGGTTACATTAGGACAGGTACTTTCATAAGCTTTCAAATGAATGAGATCAAGGAAAAAAGAGGAGAATGGAAGCTCTTTGCTTTAAGCGCTTGGACCCTTTCATTGCATCTTCCGCTTAAGAAAGTGCCTTGAAGGACACCCCATTTCTTTTTTGTCATCATCACGTTTCCAGACTTTGAACTAAAATAATCAGAGTGATCGTTTTATGAACAAAACCAATCCTGTGGCAGCTTAAAACTGGACTTAATTATAGAATATGGTTTTGTAGATAAGAACTGACTTTGTCAACTGCATGTACTGAGTCAGCAGCGATATGAGAAAAAGAAAATAAAGCAGGTGATCTTTGGGTTCAGAAGGGAATGAAATACAAGATGTAGATCCTTTGTAATCATACCTAGTCCCTAAGATTCAAGTGAAGTGCCATAGAATTTGGCCCCCAAATCTATTCAAAATACTTTGTAAAGATTTAGAAAAAGAGGTGGAGGAATCTGAAAATTTTCAGATGATATGCCACTTTTGTGGGACAGCCAATATTCTGGAAAATTTAAAATATTTTGATAGATCTGAGGTAAAGCTGGATATAAGATCTAATAGAGACAAATGGAAAGTTTTTCACTTAAAAATCAAATGCGCAAGTGGAGGATAGCAAAACTATCATAACAAATTTTATTAAAAGGCATACGTTTTGGTGAGCTGTTGCTCACTTCATCAGCTGTAGGGAAAGGTAGTTTTAGGCTCCATTAATAGAAAATTAATTTTCAAATCACAGAAAAGAATAGTTCTGCTATACAGTATGCTGCATTGGCGACTCTCCATCTCAAGCACTGTGCTCAGTTCTCATTCTGTGCTGCACTTTCAGAGAATTCAAAGAAACTGGAACAGGTGCAGGAAAAAAAGGCAATAAGAGTGATCAGAAAGCTAGAAACTAAAGCCCCTGGGACAACTGGTATATTTAGCCCAAGAAAAGACTGCTATGGTAGCATATTTCAGGTATTTATTTATTTATTTATTTATTTTTATTTATTTATTTACAGATCACATTCACATAGCCGCCCATCTCACAAAGCAACTCTGGGCAGCGTACAACAATTAAAATAAAATAACAAGTGAATAAAAACAGGCGTTATAAAAAGATCAAAAGTTATTATTAGAGTAAAAACATTATCACAAGTATCTAAAGGGATGCTAGATAGGAGGCCCTAATTTCAGGGTTCTGGGTTGACAACAGCCTTAAATTACAGGAAGGGAGATTCCAGATGAATGTTAGCAAAACCTTTTTATGGCACACGCAGTTTGGCAGTCAAACTGGTGATCAAGGAAGGCAGCGAGCGCTCTTCTTTCACAGGACATTCCAACCGAGGGCCGGGCAGCGTCTCTCCCGGATGATTTCACTGGGATTCTTGTACTGAGCAGGGCTTGGACGTCAGGCCCACTTTATGTTTTTACGGGTCCAGTCAAGTGATAATTATACATATTCAGACTTAAAAGCCACTTTGCAAAATTATGTGGTTAGACAGCCCGGCACTGCAAGACCTTATAGGGTAAGATAAAAAACAACCAATAATCCTGGATCAAGGATTGTAATATAATTAATATTTTTGATAAATATTAGCTGTATAAATTTGCAAGAGTATGGTTTACTTTTTCCTTTATCAGAATTGGATTATTGTGAAAATAAACTCAGGCAGCTGGGGATTCAGGGGGCAAAACACACATAAAAGACAGGTAGAACTTTGATCACATCGTCCTGTTTTTTTAACCACATCCTGCAGACAGCCCTGCAATAAAGCCATGGTTCCTCCAGGAATTCAGTCTGGAGTCATTCCCAACCCTTCCTAGAGATTTCAAGGGTTGATCCACACACCTTGCATATATCTGAACTATGAAGTACACCCAATTCCCTACTTTTCCCCGTTTAATCTCAAACTGGCTAGCAGGATGCCTTGATGCTAAGAAATTGTGCTTCCAGTGTTTATGAATCTTCAGGATAACCAGCCACACAACAGTTGAACGCTTGGGTTTATCAGGAAGGTAAACCTTTACCAAGACAGACTCTAGCAATTTTGTTCAAAGGTGGTGGCAACTGAACTGAGTATACTGAAGTGATATTTAGGAATATTAATTTTAACCATGCTGTACTTCTGAAGCATATTATTACACTCAGAGATACTAAGGGAAGTAGAAGACACATTTTTACTATTGGTGATCATAATTTTACAACTGCCAAATATTCCTGCCTAATCTGCTCAGGCCTAGGTATTCCACATACTGTATCTACTTTAACTTGCAAAACACTGACATATAGCTCATATTTCTGAGCACTCAGGGGAGCTAATAAAATAAAATAAAAAATGCACAAAAATGCAAGAAGAACATCTTGGCTGCCCTTCTAGTGCCCAGCCCAAATGTAATGGAGGGAATGTGTCCTGAAGCCTGGGAGTGTTGCAGGAAAAATCACTCTTCTATTTGACAAACGGGCCTCTGACCACTGGGGCACCTTCCAAAGAGTCTCTCCTAAATACATTAATGCCCATGCAAGCTTATAAGTAGAGAGGTGGCATCAATCCATTCAGGGTTGTAAAGGGTAACGCCAACATCTTACATTGAGTTCAGTAAGCAGATAGCAACAGATAGATCTTTCAGAACAGCCATCATAGTGTGTGTATGTGCAAGTTAATTCCTAGGTTTTCATATCTATCATGTGCAGGCAGATATATGGTGGGCGTGGAAGGAGTAGAATCGGGGAGACCCAAGTTCAAATCCATCCTCAGCCACAGAAACCTACTTAGGAACCTTGAGCCAACTTTCCTCTCTCAAACCAATGCATTTCACAGGGTCGTTGTAGTGGGGAAAATTGGAGAAAGGAGAGCTACAGTATATGCATATCCTTCCACTCTTGGAGAAAAGATTAGATATAAATCTAATGATTAATTTGCAAAGTACTTATTATGAGTGACTGCATATGTTAATTCCTAGGTTGGTTGGTTGGTTGAATTTATATGGCTGCCCATCTCATTTGCATGTGACTCTGTGTGGCATACGCAGTTAAAACACAACTAACAATCACAATCTTCCACCATTAAAACCAATAAAAAAAAACAGTTAAAAGCTTCAATTAAAAAGTTAAAAATTCATTCTATGACATCCAAACAGATGTAATGGGAGATCTATAAAGATAAAATGAGACTAGATTTTAACTGGTTTTGTTCCCATTAAGGTTTCCTTTGCTCAGTGTAAGCAGATTACAGTAGACAAGTCTGTTGCGTGAAGATACTGAACTCACTTGCAAGGAATGGGATAGCCAGCAACATAGAGAGACCATATGCTGGGGCTTTCCCCAAGGAAATGCTTTCTTCCCATTTCAGCCCATGAGCAAAAGAAAAGAGCTATATTTGGGGACAACCTTACAATGGCAATATTTGTTGCCTTTCTCTGACTCAAGGAACCCAAGCATCAGTGAAAGGAACCCCATATCAAGGCAATGGCCTTCCATGCATAGCACTCCCTATGAAATGAACCTTACGCTATTTCCAGAGGTTTCTCTGTCTGTTTCTCTATCATGTTCTGCCTTATCACAATGGACTTTTTACCAGTTAGATAAGAATGTCCATGCTGGTTGAAATCAAACATTTATATATACTCTAAGTACCAACCTGCGGGAATGAGTTTTATATATAAATCTACATCACGAAGAAATATATCCTTTTCTTTCTTTTAAAGTTATATATATTCCGCTGTTCAGATAGAAGGCCAAGGGAACACAGATTCATTCATTTATTTATTTAATTGATTGATTAATTAATTAATTAATTTTTCAACCACCCATCTCCCCCCAATGGGGGAACTCTGGGCGATTCACAACAAACATTAAAACATACAATATATAAATCCATAAAACCTTAATT